GGATTCTACAGGCCACATTCTATAAGAAAATGTTTTTTCCCGGTCGATCTGAGAAAATTTTTTTTTCGGGCAAAAAAAGGCAGTGTATAACCTTCCTTTTTTTACCAAAAATCGACTAAACCAAAATTTCTCGGGAAAACACTTTTTCTTATTAATTTTGGTGCGTAGAATCCAAATCAATTCGTACTTTTTCGATCAGACTTCTCAATCAAAAGTTATAGACCAATTTCGAAAAAAAGTTCAAAGGGCTGTAACTTTTGAACTAGTAGCCCAATCTTGGAACTGTTTGAAATTATGGATTCTACAGGCCACATTCTATAAGAAAATGTTTTTTCCCGGTCGATCTGAGAAAATTTTTTTTTCGGGCAAAAAAAAGGCAGTGTATATAACCTTCCTTTTTTACCAAAAATCGACTAAACCAAAATTTCTCGGGAAAACACTTTTTCTTATTAATTTTGGTGCGTAGAATCCAAAACGATTCGTACTTTTTCGATTAGACTTCTCAGTCAAATGTTATGGACTAGAAACCAATTTCGAAAGAAAGTTCAAAGGGCTGTAACTTTGGATCCAGTAGCCCAATCTTGGAACTGTTTGAAATTATGGATTCTACAGGCCACATTCTATAAGAAAATGTTTTTTCCCGGTCGATCTGAGAAAATTTTTTTTTCGGGCAAAAAAAAGGCAGTGTATAACCTTCCTTTTTTACCAAAAATCGACTAAACCAAAATTTCTCGGGAAAACACTTTTTCTTATTAATTTTGGTGCGTAGAATCCAAAACGATTCGTACTTTTTCGATTAGACTTCTCAGTCAAATGTTATGGACTAGAAACCAATTTCGAAAGAAAGTTCAAAGGGCTGTAACTTTTGATCCAGTAGCCCAATCTTGGAACTGTTTGAAATTATGGATTCTACAGGCCACATTCTATAAAAAAATGTTTTTTTCCCGGTCGATCTGAGACAATTTTTTTTTCGAGCCAAAAAAAAGGCAGACCTTCCTTTTTTACCAAAAATCGACTAAACCAAAATTTCTCGGGAAAACACTTTTTCCACTTGTATCTATTTATGACGTTTCTTGTGTCTCGTTCCGTTCTTGTTATTGTATTTAACTCGATATCTGATTTTATTTTACCATTTGAGTGTTTGATGTGTATACTTTTCTCTTTTGAATGTTGTTGTACTAGTTGTTTAGTAACGAGCTCTTAAGCGAGTTCACGATTTTGGACTTTCGGTCCGTTCAGCCGTCTGTGTACATGATAACTCGCGAACGGTTTGGAATTTTTCAATTCTGTTTTCAGTAATAAGTAGACAATGGTCAAGTTAAATCCAACTGAGCAAATCTAGTCATTTGCACTATCTGTCCGGCCGTCTGTGTAACGTGAACGAACGGTTTCGAATTTTCCAATTCCAAATATTTTAATTGTTCTTATCTTTTCTTACGCACAACATTCTGCATTTTTTTAAATTCAATTCCCGTCTTGCTTAGTCGCACGTCCCAGCACATAAAGAACTGTCCTAGTAGTATTACACCCCGTCATTTCGACTTGAGGGTTAGATGGGTCAGCTTATACTATTTTTCTCCAGAGTTGCCAACTGTAAGTATAGGGTAAGTAAGGGCTTGGGGGACCACTAAGATCATTACAGGTTTTAAGAGCTTTCACAAATCTAAGAGGAGTCATTTGAGCACTTAAAAGCTCATGTTAGTCCTAAAAGCCCTTTATAGGTCTTTAATAAACTTTAAGAGCCTGAAACAGCTTTTAGAGGCCTTTAAAAATGTTTAATTCTTCTTGAGCCACTACTTTCCAAAGCCTCCAAGATACTCCGACGGTTTTCTACAACCCTAAGTACCTATTTAGAGTCTTTAAATGTATTTAAAAGCTTTTAAAAATCCTTGTTTCGAAGAGAATTTGAGAGTTTAGATCTTTAAAAGTTTTTACCGGTCTCTAAATGTCTTAAAGCGGCGTAAACATTTTCAAAGAGCATCAAAAAGTCCCTAAGTTTTTTGAATGTGAAATTTTAGCGACCTTGCAACTGCACATACGAATGTTACCCCTTGCGAATTGCGATTTTGAAATTAAGAGTTTTTTTTAATCAACTTGGTCTTACTGATTATTCTCTCATACGTATTGAGAAGGCAGAAGGGTGTGTAACTAAATTCAATGGTATAACTTTTGTAGCTCACCAAATATATTGGCATCTTTCATTGTTTTTTTTAAATAGCGCACAAGCAACCCTCCAACTGCACATATAAGTATAACTATAACCAATGTTGAAATTAAGATTTTTTGGCGTTTCTTTGATTTATTTTGTTTAAATAGTCTACAAACAACCTTCCAACAGCACATACAATCTTCACCTTTCCGATTTCGAAATTAAAAATTTTGTTGTAAATTTAATCTGCATTAAATATTTCAGTTTCTTTCATTGATTTTCTTTAGCCCGCTTGACATGGAGCAATAAAAATTGCAATTGCATCCAAGTTGCAAGAAAAATTGCGAAAGGCATGCGCAGTTCAAAGCCAGCTGATCAATTGCTGCAAGAGACTTGCATGGAATTTTTATAGGACCGGTGCTATTTTTCTTGCATGAATCGTGCAATTCTAGGGATAAATCTAGTTGTTCTTGTGTCACCAACCTAGTAAAATACAGCGGCGGCAACTATGATGCTGAGAGACGCACTCATTCCTTGTTTTTATTAATCTTATTTATTCTTGTAATTTTCATGTTTCTTCAAGCAATCAAAATTTAATTTTCATTTGAGGTTAACTACTTTGTTGACAAATCCATATGTTTCTTCTGTTGGCAGACATGTGGCAATTGAAATAGAGTTGCACCATGTCAAATACCATGCAATGCTTATTGCATGCAAGGATTTGACCTTGCAATTTCTTTCTGCAAGTTCTTGCGCGTTGTATTGCTCCATGTCAAGCGGCCTTTAGTCTACAAGCAACCCTCCAACTTCACACGCAAATGGCACGTCTGGCGATTTTGATTTTTGTTTATAAGAGAGAGGTAGAGGTGTAATTCTTGTAGTACAGAGATACGGTCATTCACATTAGAATGACATTTTTGAAATCAGTTCTACATCTCGTATAAATTAATTCAAAACTGCACAACCCTAGAAAAACAACATTTGCGGTGATTAGAACCGAAATCTTTTCGCAATATGCATTCTAATCTTATTTATGCATTTATTTGTAGGTAGGTGGTGCGAGGTAAAGAAATAAAGAATATTCATTCTTATTACATTACCTTCTCTATGGTACGGTAAAATTTAGGATGACGTGCTAATTATTTCGCATTCGTTTTCAATTTTGAAGATATCAAGATGTGAATTCAATTCTGTATTTTCTGGGTGACATTCCTAACTAGAGGATTTACCTACCAGACACTGATACCAGTTAATTTTATACCTACCAATTTCATCATTTTTAAATGACGGCAGACAAACGACCGCTACAATAGTATATTAAGATACAAGTGTATAATCAAGTCTTTAAAGCACGCGCAACGAGTTTAAGGGCACGACGCAAAGCGGAGTGCCTTTAACGTTGCAAGTGCTTTAAAGACCAATTATACACGTGTATCTTATAGTATTTTTTATTATACCTGCAGTATAATTTAAAAATAGGAAATACAATGAAATCATATTGACGTTATACTCGAATACATGTCTAATTAAGTGGGCTGGGTGTTCGTAATTTCACGATTGCCATGGAAATGTCACTTGAAGTTTGCTTATAAAAATCATCGTCTTTGTGAATTAAACGATTTCCGTTGAAAAAGATAATACACCGTCCATTAAATCGATTGTTGTAAAATCTAAACACACGTTGGTAGGTGTAAAATCCAACTCCAGTAAAGCCTATTATAAAGAATATGAAAAGTTGTTTCCATGGATGAATAGGAAGTTACTTACGAATACATTCTTAAATGCATCCATAATGCTGGCATATATGAAGGAAATGTCAAAGGTATTTAAATCTTCTATATTTTGGTGCATTCATTCAAAACTTTAAAGCAATGCTGCGATTAAAAAGTGGAAAAGATTTGGAAGCATACCCTAAATTACGCGCGTTTGTGAAAGCTTCAACCAAAGGATAGGTACAAAAGCCAAAGAAATGTTCTGCATTTACAGAAAGCGACCTAAGAGGATTTTTCATTTCATCCAGATGACAGTTTCAAAAGTCATACTTGAAGTATCGTTACTTAGCAACTTTAAAGCACGTGTGTTTTAAAGGCCCTTTTTCGCACGCATTTGAGTGTTTAAAACGGAGATTGTGATTCAGGTATAATAAAATAGTACATTATATATCAAGGTAGAGAAGTCCACTATTATTGCCTGAGCACCAAGATTACATCTCGAGGCGCTTGCGCCGAGGGGTGTAAGGTGCGAAGGCAATAATAGACTTCTCTACCGTGGTATATATACTATTTTTTTTCACTACTAGCACTTGAAATCCTCTAAATTAACATATTATATTGATAAGAGAGTTAACGGTTGGACAGAATTGTTTGTTTCTTAATTTAACATGTCAATCAAGTACGTGGAAGTACAAGTCAAACAGGCCGTATTTTGTTCTGTCATTGAGATTTTTCAAAGAGTAATTTCGTTCGAATTTTTTCAAAATGTGATAATTTTAGGTATGTAATTTCTCTGGAAATTGCGAATGGTGGCAATTATTCGTTTTAGAGAACTTGTCTAAACGTTCATTGAGCGAAATTTCGGGTTGTGTTTTCTAAAAGTGACAGCGTGACAGTTCTCATTATTGACTACTAGTTAATAATGAAAAATTATTAACCACTTTGAAAAAATGCCGAGAAAGCCTACTTTACAAGTGGAAAAAAGGTTAATAATCATGTCATCAGACGCTAGTAGTGAAAAAAATAAATTATATGCATTGTATTACTCCGTCCATACGAAAATAAATAAAGTTGTCTATACAATTTTTCTTTTGATTGTGGGACTAGAGGTTAAGGTGATAATAACAAATTGAAAGATATAGTTTGTAATTTTTATTATTATTATCTACTTTTAATGTATAAAATTATTTGAATTTAAAAATTTGTATGTCTATAATATCACATTTCTGATGTGGATATTACGTCCACACATCTACTAATGCCTAAGGTAACCATTACTTGATAAGCAATTTAACTTATTTCACGTGTACAACATATAAAAACAAAATCAAAAAAAGCACGGCGTGATTTTTTTTTGGAAACGAAACTTTTAGGCACATTGTGTAACTACAATCCGCGACTATAACAAGAAATAAGTCAATCACTACGCTATAATGATTATGAGATTATCACACAACTAGTAAGTAACTAAATAAAAGTGTTCAGATTTGAAACCACTAAAAAAAAAGCCAACAAAAACTTAAAACCACAAGTAAAATAAATAGAGAACTCAATAGGACCCGTCCTACTCCATTTGGTAGATTTATCGTTATTTAAACATAACATAATTTGATTAGTTTCACAAATGAAACATTAAAATTGTACTATGTCGCTACATCCCGAAGATAACTTACTAATAGCTGTCATTTAGTAAAACGCCATAATGCAACAACAAAAAATATTCGATAATGGTCTAGGAATGTTTTTCCCAAGTCATAAGCAGTCAGATTTTGATAGTTGCCATTAACTGTAATGATTACGTGCGCAGGACGATTTTCTTATGCATTTAACTGCATAATATGAACACATGTTTAGTCTTTTGACTCTATAGGTATATATCTTAAGAAATTCAACAATGTAATACTTCCGGTCACAGCCAACTTTGAATTCGAATGCGTCTAATAAAGCTCTTCAGAGTTTTCCATGTTGGCTAGCAACATCTTCTTTTCATCTTTTTTTAACACTTGAAATCCGCCCCTGAGTTGAGGAGGATCGTAGCAAGGCTGTAACAGAACAGAATGATGTTAGATAAGGAGTTGAATGGGTGACAGGAATCTTACAGTGTCGCACACGTTCATATTGCAACAATCCTCGATGGTTATTTCACATTGTTGAACTCCAGACTGGTGTGGTCGGTAAGTAAGGGGGGTCACGTTTTTGTTGACAACTACCCTCTTGTTAATGCGCGGTCTTCTGCACGCTCTGTAAAGGAATACCGCGAGTACTACGCACGCGACCATCATGAATGCCGCGAACACGGAGACGACAATAAATCCATTCTTCTCCAACCAGTTCAATGAGCAGGGAACGCCAATTGTGCCCAGGTCGATAAAATTATCCACGGTGATGTCACCATTAGTATCTTCACAACTGAAATTAGCGGGTTGAAAAGTTGAGCAATTGTTTGGTATGCTTACCTGCACAATAACCTATTTCTGCGACCCATCAGTAACTTCGGCCGTTTCTCCTCGCAAAAAGTGGCACAAAGTTCGTCGGCATTCAGACTTTTCTCGCATCTTTTCCCAGAGTATCCCTCGCGACACGCACAACGAACGTCAAACGTACTATTGGGCGATCTGTGGCAATTGCCATCGTTTAGGCAAAAACCGATACACATGTCCCTCTCGCACCTGTTCCCCCCGAATCCCAAGGGACATTTGCATTTGGGAGCGCCCATTGATGACAAATAACAGGATCCGTGCAAACAATAATTGTGACATAATTGCATTTCGCATCGTTCACCGGTGAAACCGCGTTTGCACAGACAACTGTCGTCAATCAATTCTCCTCCATTCAAACACTCGAGCACCTCGCTGCTACTGTCATTGTCGTAGGCCACCTCGAAATATTCCTTAACGCTTCCATTATAGTGCTCCACGGCGTCGAAGAACGCTTGACAGTCGGAAATGTTCTTGATAATATGCTTAGTGACAACCCCCATCGGACTCTCCTTGAAATGGCGCAATTTTAGTGGTTCATGATCAATGTTCTTATGCTTCTTCCACAAGGCTCTGTTGTTAACGTCCGTCCAATAAACCGCGTTGGCATCTACAGCTACACCGATCGGTTTCTGATGTGTCCCCTCGAACACCACCTCGCGTGCGGATCCATCGAATTTTGCACTTTCGATACGATAATAAATCCCCTCCCTTTTATCGCCCCAGAAAATTCGCTGCGTGTGATGGTCGACGGCGATACCGGTCGGGATGAAAAGATCTTTGCTGATTACCACCTCGCGATTCTGCCCGTCCAAACTCGCACGTTCAATCGAAGGTCGGTCCACCTCGGAATTGGTCCAGTAGATATACCTGCTGCAGACGTCAATCGCGACATCTTGGGGAGATTGGTCGTCGAATTGCAGCAGAACTTTTGATTCGTGCGAGGGATCTTGCAGCGACACATAGTTTATGGTACGATTGAGTGTGTCGGTCCAATACAGTATGTCGGTGGTCGGATCAATGGCTAGTCCCTGTAAATTGCCTACTTTCAGATCGGACATTTCGGCGCGATTTCGACGCTTACCTGAACGTCGTCCGGAAGATTGGTTAGGATTGGGGTAATATCAGTCTCTCTTGTAAGTTGAACACTGTAGATAGTATCATTGTGTTGGTCCACATCGCTCACTACGAACTGATGACGTATGTCGTCGAATGTTAACGCCTTTAGGTGACTAAATTGCTGAGCTGCCGATCCTAATAAAGATCCATTGGAATATAATAGTTCTACTGTATCACTGATGGCGACTGCCAAATCTGAAACATGCACTCAATTTAGAATGGGCATTTAGTGGGCTTATGTAATTGTGTCTCATGATTTTGCAAAGGTTAAATTTAGACATCCATTGGCACGCGCATATTTTGAAATGATTGGTATGAAATTGCTTCGACAAGCGGTAAAAAGTTGGAGTAAGTTGAACTTATTCCCGTGCTCGTTTCGGATTTGGAAATAAACGGATTCGTGTTGCATTTACTTACATTCCAAATTTCAGTAGAACGACCATAAATGCCATATTTTTGGATACAAAGGAAGAATTGGAAGAGTTAATGAGTACCATCTCGAAGGACTGATTTTCCACGAATGACGGCCTGCTGAAAGTGAAAGATGCAACAGGTATTTACGAATGGAAATTTGGGGTAATAACAATGACGTAGAAATTATAAAAATTTCCAAAGTAACAGAAATTTGCGGTGGTAACTTTGCTTCAAAGAAGTGCATTTTCAAAACCTTCACGGGGCTACAATTGGAATGGCGGAATTGACAATGCGAAGAGGAATTTTATGAATATTTATACCATACCATGGCCCTAGACACATAATTAAAAACTATGGAAGGGGATGGATTTTTATTGACATTTAATTACCGGCACCCTGTTTCCTATCGTTTGCAATGCCGCTGACGATCACTGTTAGTGTGAAACAATTAAATTTACATACATTTAAATGGACAATAGTGGGGAACATGTGAAGTTCTTGTAACAGTAAATAAAATTCAACTTTTTAAATGAATCGTTTGGAAAATTCCCCTCATTATGCACGAAAGGAAATTTTAGTAACCCGCCAAACCTCTTTTAATGAAATATTCCTATTCCTGATCAACGTAATTAGAACTCATTATCAAGAACGCGCCCCTTCCATAACGTCCAGCAGAATCGTACTACGTTATTACACGTTATCATATCCGTATCGTATAGTTTTTTCCACACGTTTGGGAATGCGTTGCTTAAAAAATTTGAAATGAATTGTGGCGCCGGCGCGTTAAATTAATCAATGGTGCACGTGGTCGATGAGGAAAACGTGGTCTTGGTCACGTAGACATAGAAATTGTAATCGAGGCAAAAATCTCGCTATCCCTATCAAATGGTCTCGAAATGCTTGATTAAAGGAATTCTTTGTCGAGTATGAGTTTGATATTGGAACGGAGGTATTACTATTCAATGCCAAGGTTAAATGAACGGTCATAATAAATAATTAATTCATTGAAAAAAAAAAGCGGTGGATTGACGCATGTAATTTAACACCGAAACGGCTTCCAAACGGGAAGGAAGTGTGGTAGCGACAATAATTAGTACGCGAGCACGTGTATCGGTCCGTCTGTCCTTACGTAATTGGGGAGGAATGCGCGACGCGATCTTTCAGGAACAAATTTCCACCGGCGACGTTACGTGGGCGATGAAAATCGTAATTTTATTTTCCCTGCCCTTGTACGACAGTAGAAAAACACCGAAAACGCTTTGCCGTCGAAAAGGGCAAAGGAACACCGATTGTCGTCTTTGGTCAAATTCGACTTCTCAAAGGTGCCCTACAAAAAAATGCGTGTTAAAAAATTATAAAAGGAGAGAACAATAAAAATGTCCTTTCCCATAATGAAAACGAACAATACTTTCGCCTTGAGAAAATGTGCTAATTAGATAAATTATAGAGCGGTTCTCGACAACACGAAATGTACATAACGTTATATTTAGAATTTTAGACTTTTAGCGTATGCTACTATTTTTCTATGTGAAGAGCAAACAGAGGTGAGGAATTCCATCCTTCCCTTATTCTCCTAAGGGTCAATGAAGGGTCAAAATTTGTTGATCCATAGGTAACAGAGGAAAGTATGTTACTAATGACCTTACATACCTAGGCTTTTGGATGTCTGAAGCAAACAAATTTCTACCCCAAGACGATATGCGCATAAATTCTGCGTTCCACAAAACTTGTTATCTCGAGACCTTTGAGATTTTTTTGCGATTAGAAAACAATGTTTTCATCGCAATTTTAGTATCGACGACGATAAACGCAGGTCATAAGAAAATTACCCAACTCTATACAATCAGCAGCTCTCAGTGAGACGTAAAACTAAAAAACTGCTCTATGCCCACTTTCGGCGCTTTCAAACACAAAGAATGCTCACAGCATATGAAGAGATTCTGACCATATTTGAAGGGTTGAGTTGGAGAAGTTGGATTTTTTCGAATTTTCTTCCCACATACCAAATTTGGTTGATATTTTTACATCCTATGTATTTTTTTCGAATTTTCCCTCCCACATTCTAAATTTCATTAATATTTTTGCAGGTCCGTACCATTGTGTAATAGGAGTTTTAGAAAAAAAAAAACTAGACGACTAGCAGTCGGACAGCGGACGGACAGACAGACGAACAATAGCGGTCATTTTGCTTTGAGAAATGCGCTAAAAGGAAACAAGAATTTCATCGACGTCGCTCTCAAACGAAATTTTAGTTTATTTGAATTGAATGGTACACCATATACAGGGTGTCCAGCGAGGAGTTGAAAACGAATGCGAATTTAGCTAAAATATTTCCAGTTTTTATATTTCTTGGTATACGCTTTGATATTTCAAATGGGGTGCTCTAGTTTTTATTCACTTTGTAAATCTGCGGCAAGTTGGGTATACAATCCCATAAGGCTACATCGAAATGTCAAAAACGCCCGCCATATGTGCTCTTCATTTTACGTTCTTTACAGTTCGCCAGTGACACTTCGTGGCTTGTGTTTCAAAAATAACGTTGCGCACGGAGGGTTAGTTGATTACGAGGCGAGGGAAATGCTTGTCCCTCATATAGGAAACGTCCAGGAAACAGCGGGCAAATTGTAGAAAAAAAGAAGGAAACTTCAAAGGAATGAGAAAATTTTAGGGAGATATTAGGAAATTTTGAGAAAATAAGAGTACATTTTAAGGAAATTATAGGACATTCAGGCTTCAGAGGAAATCAAGAGGAAATAAAAGGTTTCTATAGGGAAGTAACGGTTTCGCGTTAATTCGGATAAATTTTGGATAAATTTGGGGAAATTTAAGGCAATGAAAATGTTGGGGAAATTAAAGCGAACGAAATGATGGCAAGTTTTACGCCAAGAAGGAAATCTTTGTCCCCTAAATAAGTAGTGACCAACCCCTTAGAGGCGCATTGAAAACACATTCAATCTTCCCTTTTGTTTTTTTTTAATTCTTACAAAATTGATATGTTCACAGGTCAACTATGCAATTGTGCGATGTCACCACGTTATTAAATTCATCGACTAGAGGTCGTTTCGAAGTTCAAAATCTTGACCAAACCTTGAATTTACATAGAACCGATCTTACATAAAACATGAATTTTTTTAAAGTCTACTCCCAAGTCTGCGTCTAAAACTCAAAGTCCGTAGTGGTTTGACGTTGGTATACTGCGCCGAACTCCGACATTCAAATTTGTCAAGAAACAAGATAAAATTACGACACACATATTTTCAATGGCCAAAAATCATGAACGTTGCGGCTAGGCGTTATCGCATTGCGGTTTCGTACCGGAACGAAAATGCCGCGCGTATTTTTCGAACGTAGAAAAACACGTTTCCGAGGTAAATGAATGCGAAAGACGCAAACAGCAACAGGCAGCACGTGCCCTTCTTCTTTAAAAGTCCCCCCGATTCATTGTAGGTAAATTTTTGCTAGGAAACCAAAGAAATCAATGACCTCAAATGAGTATGCAACGCATTAATAATTGCAAATCGAATCAGTAAATCGATTTCGATAATAACTACGTTTTGATTTAATCGAGGTTATCGCTGTCATCGGGTACTATAAATATTAAAATAATTCATTTGCGTCAATTAGGCTAATTTTTTGGAAAATGACATTGCTTTTAATCGTTCCTTCCGGTGTAGGTGGCCTTTCTTCCGTAAGCAAGCACTTTCAAATGATCTCATTTTTTTTCTGGAAGCAAGTACGTAATTTTGATTAAATCAATGCGGCAAAAATTATGGGAGAAATCGAGCTCAAAATTGGAGAAGTAGCAATTTCCAACGAAAGTGGTGAATAAATGAAGATTTTGTTCAGAAGCCCATAATTGGGGCTCAAAGTGACCTACAAATGGATCAATATTCGGGACAACAAAAAAAGCTTTTGGAGCAACTAGTAGGATGAACGGACGTACAACAGCGCATTTTTTTAAATATTTATAAATGCTATAAGAAAAACAATAACAAATAATCTTCTATCACTTCAAAATGATTAAACAAGGTTATCATATTAGTGAAATAAAACGCATTCGAGTTTAATTACAAAATCATTTTAGTGAATAAAAATATTGCAAATAAAATAACATTTGGGGTGAATAAACAAATTAGCATGTAACAAGGGTGGTAAAATTTACGTCCAAATTTATTGCATACAATTTTTTTTCTACGACGTTTCGTTTTGTGTTTTTGCATGCGGCTAACCATAGCTTGCAATGTTTTGTCGCATGCCTACTGCCCGGGGTGCAAAGTAATTTTTTGCAATTTGAGTCAAAACTATTCATTTTAGGTGAAAATGTTCGAAGCAAAAGGTATGGGAAATAAAAAAATAACCAATTTTTGTATTTACAATTTTTGCACATAACTTCAAATTTTGCGAGAAACCCCGGAAAAACTTTTTTAATTTTTGCGAAAAAAGTCGCTGGGGTCTGAAATTTGAAGAAACGTCGCCTTTTTATGAGAAAAAAGAAGACACAATTTTGGGCCGATTCGGAGATATTCGCGATTTTCGAAAAAAAACACCTCTTTTTCAGGGGGACGAAAAAAATTTGTTATCATATCTGACTACCCATGTAAGATAGAAAAAAGGTAAAAATTGTTGCTTAGTCAAAAAAATTGTTTGGGCCAACGTTTCTGAGATTTGACACAAATGTTGGTATTTTTTTAAAAACACCCTACATATCTTAACGTTATTTATTTGCATTCGTTTTCCTGATTACATTGATGTATCACAACCTATATTTTTTTGATATTATTATATAAGTACGTATATCATATTTTTCAAAATTTTGAAATGACATGTTTCTACCGTCAGAAATTTTTATTGATTGGTATCGGCTGCCATGCACACAATAAAAAAACAAAACCCCCATGAATCCATTCCCCACTATTTAAAAATAAGGCTTTTATTTATGGTTCAAGCCCAAAATTTAAAGAAATACAGGTTGTGAGCCAAATCTCAGAAACGGGGGTCCAAAAATTTGTTTTTATTATGCCACTGGATTCTACGTAAAAATATCTAGAATGGGCAGCAAAAAGTCAAACTTTTCGTTTTCACCCTGTATGAGAAACAAACGTAGTTAGATTGATTCTGTTTGTGGTATTAAAAATTTCACAAAAAAATGGTCGCGAAAACCGCAAATTTTTTTCCGGGTCGATATGAGACAATTTTTTTTCGGGCCTCAAAAAAAGGCAGTGTATAACCTTCCTTTTTTACCAAAAATCGACTGCACCAAAATTTCTCGGGAAAACACTTTTTCCTATTAATTTTGGTGCGTAGAATCCAAAACAATTCGTACTTTTTCGATTAGACTTCTCAATCAAAAGTTATAGACTAGAAACCATTCGAAAAAAATTCAAAGGGCTGTAACTTTTGAACTAGTAGCCCAATCTTGGAACTGTTTGAAATTATGGATTCTACAGGCCACATTCTATAAGAAAATTGTTTTTCCGAGTCGATCTGAGAAAATTTTTTTTTCGGGGCTCAAAAAAAGGCAGTGTATAACCTTCCTTTTTTTTACCAAAAATGGACTACACCAAAATTTCTCGGGAAAACACTTGTTTTTATTAATTTGGGTGCGTAGAATCCAAATCAATTCGTACTTTTTCGATCACTTCTCAATCAAAAGTTATAGACTGGAAACCAATTGCGAAAAAAAATTCAAAGGGCTGTAACTTTTGAACTAGTAGCCCAATCTTGAAACTGTTTGAAATTATGAATTCTACAGGCCACATTCAATAAGAAAATTTTTTTTCCGGGTCAATCTGAGACAATTTGGCATTAAAATGCATTAGACAAATCTGTGCTTTTCGATTTTGTTCGACTCTGATACTATGTCTTAGCCCTGCTAGATGTAGGTAGAGAACTCTCCCTATCAAGAGGATGTTGAGGAACGGGCTGAGTAGGATTGCAGCAATGAATTTTGAATATTGCATGTTTGACTATAGTAAATATACTTTCACTTTAAACGCGAAAATTAAAGAAATTCAGCATATCAACAAAAAATACATAGGTATCCAAAGAAAAATTAATTAAACATTAAAACTAAAATGGCAGGGGTAACAGAACAGTGGTTGGAGAGAATTTGTAGAAAATAGGTACGTTTACTTAGCCAAATAGATAATACTGAGGGGACGTTTGATATAAAGCTACTTTTATAAGTATAAGACGTAATTTTACTGTACAAAATTAATATTCTTCAAATTTTCAGAATAGAACATCGTTTCACAGCTTTAGGAAGGGTATATGAATTTATTTATTTACAGAAACGTTATTGAGCGAAAAGTCAGTTACACTAATTAAATGTAGTTGAAGAAACTGTAACTTACATATTTCACCATAATAAATTAAAGGTAATTTTCAAAGCTTATATTCTTCAACGCTAAGGGGGAAAACTGAAAACAGTATAAACCTTTCAACGAGCACTTTTAAACGGTGAAGCACAACAATTACATTTACACCCCAAACAAAGAGCGATCACATTTTTCCTCTTTCATGCTATTCCCTCTGTTTTGCCATAAAAAGAGCGATCTACGTACAAGGCTCGATATATGTATGTCGCCGATTTCAATTTCTGCTTTATATCCTAGAAGAAGGAACGGAATTGTCACAATTACGGGTTTGTTTTCCACGAAAACCTTTCACGCGGTTCCCAATAATCTTGCAAGGTCTTCTAAGCCGATGTGAAATCCTTTGTTCGAAATGGAACCCTTTTAATTTTCTTGTCGAACATACAGACAAATGATGGAAGAGTTAGCTAAATGGACTAACAACCCATTATATATTTACGGAAATGCTAGGCGATCAATCATTAATAAGTGAATTATTATGCAAACAGTTGCTATAGTTAAACCAATTTTTTTAAATCTCGTGCATGCGGTATGTCAGAAGTTAAAAGGGTAGTAATCCTTTGGATCATCACTTCCCCTTGACATTTCCAGTTGAATAACTAACAGAAAGTGAAAATCTCATGTCACGGTCAATTTTTCCTTTGCCGAAACGTGTTCGCTTGTAAAGGGCAATACAATAGAAACGAATTTGTTAGAAATAATCCCGAACAATAAATCGGAAATTTGTAGAGCCACTTATTAACACCTTAATCTGGAAACAACGGATTCAGGATTTCGGCAGGATTGAGCAAGTGCAGATCGCGCAATCTCCTTCTTCATTTCTCATTTACATTACGTTCTCCGGGAGCAGGTCTACTACTTCACCGCTGGTACCAGTCCGATAGTAGCCGTATTTGTGAAAGGATTTTCACGCGAGCTTTCAGTTTGATACGCGGTGCGTGCTTGTTAAGTCGATGCATCGTAGTATAATTACTGTTTAGTGAGCGTGTTTTCTCGTCTCCCGCGCCTATGATGTTTTAAATTTATGTGATGTGTTATAAAGGATTATAAAATGGGGCATTGTCATCGAATTTTTTTTATTTTATCGGTTCTGCTCAACCGATGGCTCATGACCACCGCACAAGGTAATCCAAAGTTGAACAAAAATATTGCAATATTAAAATATAGGTCGTCGAATTTTCTCCCTTATTAAATATTTAGATACTGACACGAAAGATTGGCAACACTCGGATTAATCATTACTAGGTACGGTATTGTTTTGCAACCTCTTTAAACAAGGCCAACGTCTCTTTACTGTTGCATACTACGCTACCTTTAATATAAAATAAATTGGCCTAATTTTACTCATTGTTTAATCTGAATTTATATTACAAATTGTGAATGGAATTTAATTGTAATTTCCTAGTTTCCACATACCGGAGCGTTTAGTTTTATTGCACAATCCAAAACGTTTCCTAATTTCGTAGGTAATGTTTAAATACCGACGAGGGCGAGAAAGTTTCGGTTATTAATTAAATTACACTCCATATCGATAATTACCTTCAATTTCGCGTGATGCTCCGCGTTGTTTTGTTTATATAATATTTTTTGTACGCCTCTCAGATATGCAAGGATTAAACACTTTCCCAAACGTTCTTGACATTTACCTGAAATCTCGACGTATGTGTGTCACTTTTATTTTTAAGCTGATTCACTTCGAATTAGAACGATGACATTGCGTATAAATTCCTTAAATCACGGAAAATGCTTCGGAAAATGCCTTCCCTTAGTGTTTCGTCAACCAGGCATAAATTATGCGGAACCGTATTTCAGTACCTTTCTACGCTGGAGTGGCCAAAGGTCTAATGTTTTACCGACATATTTGATGGCTCAATTTCCGCGTGAGTTAATCGATTATTAGCAAACGAAAATAAATGATCGTTTTCTTAAATGGAAATTGCACCCATAATTTTTTTTGGAAAACTGCAATTTTCTCTTTAAAATGTGCCAAATTTAACCTCCTTTAAATGGTAAAATTAATCAATTTTCACGTCGGATGTACATAT